ACCCCCTCCCCCGCCGCCTCGCTGCCCTTCTCCCTCTTCTCCATTTCGAGCACGGCCATCGGGGCGCCGCCTGCGGACAACGCGACACTCAACGCGCGCTCAAACATAACGCATAGACGTAAACATTAACATAAGTGAGAGACTGAAGTATTCACAATGTCTAACATAAACGTAAGCAATAGGAAAAGTTTCTATTGGCTGTGAGGTATTCTAGTTTACTATTGGTTGGATGTGAGAATCGATTTTGAGGTATCGACTATGTCTAATGCCTATATGGTGTTCGTTTATCGACTTCGCTCCTTTTTCGATTCTCGATTTTGAGTTACCGTTCTGTGATTGGTTCATTTTTATGTCTTACTTAATCATAACAACAAAAGCTTCAAGCCTGCAAGCTTTTAAGTTAACGTCTTACGTGTTATGCTTATACGAACGCGTTGTGAATGAGTTCACTTATTGACGTAGTCCTAACTTTTATGCTAACGCCATGCTTATGTTTATGTTTGCATTGTGAATGGACCTTTAGGGTGTACTGCCTTTGGCTGAGGCCTTCGGCGGCGGGTACGTTTGTATTAAAATTGTGTATGTTACTCAAGTTCACATTAAACAGACATTTTAAAAGCAATAATGGATTCTTCATGCTTAAGCAGGGAGAATAAGTAGCTTCTTCACAACCAAAAAGTACAGACATTACAGAAACATTCTACGAAAAATTAACTAACTCGTCGATCCTCAGAACCAGTTATACCAAAAAGCATGGACAGAATACTTTTCTAAAAATTCAAGTTTCATTACATTAGTAGGTATAACTATCGACAATAATGATGTAATGTAATGAAATGGTGTAGTACATAATGAAAAACTATCTTCTATTGAATAATGTCTTGAGTATTCACATTAAACTAGAAAGGAAGTATAGTAGTCCATAGCATTTCAGCATGATCATCTCCTTATATGGCTTTAAAACTCCCCCAAAACACGTTTTGGGAGCTTAACCTCCTTCGTTTCTATCGGTGGATCGGAAATGGTCAAATGAGGGGCCCAGAGTGCAAGGAATAAAAGTGCATCTTCGGCAAAATTTGAATAAGGAGTATAAGTGTAAAGTAAAAACTCTATTTTATTCGTGAACAAATAGTATTCCAATAGCTTAAACAGTTGTTGCGTTCTCGCGGTGGAAAGAAAATGTCTTCCGTAGAGTTTTCTATAGTCACACAACTTTGAACGCGGTTTTCTCAGTTCCACATTTAGGACACTTGCTAGTGACGGAAGGATGGACGCAGGTTACTCGATTACTGTGCTTCTTGTTCCTGAATTATGTGCAAAGTTCTTGTGTTAGGTTTCAATAATGAGTTCTTATAGGTCTAGAGTAATGATTAGTTCTTATTCATTATTGAGCCCTAAATAAAGAAACCTCCACATCGTGAATTATGTGCAATGCGGAAGGTTATTAACTATTCTTATTATTTATTGGGACTTTTTTCGGACTTCTTTCTTTTTCAAATAGCACTATGTATGCCTCATAAACTCGGGGCCTGGATTATATATTAACATTCACCGATATACACATTCACCGATTTGGACTGTCATTACACTTTTTAGTAAAGTGTCTCCTCTCATAAGACGCGTCGATAACAACGCTGTAAATAAACTGCTCCTCAATGGCGTATTATCATTTCCCGGGAACTCCAGCAAATACATTTGAAACGAAATATATATAATAATAAATATATTTTATAGTAATATATTATATCGTAATTATAGTTAATTTTAATTATTATATTTATATTAGATATTAAAATTATATTTTGTTCCAATGATCCAGTGGCGAGTCCCATTTCACTTTGCTGCCGTCGGGGATGCAAAAAGTTGATGCCATATGAACAATCACTCTAGAATTACATTTTTGGATAGATTCCGACTGGATACAAATGTATTCTGACCCTGATTATTACAGATATCTCCATCGTGTAGTCTGATGCAAGAAGACGAAATGCGTATGCGAAAGTGATCTCAAATATACCACAACACAAACTGTACATTATGTAATAAACATTTGTAAGTTAATGAAGTAAAGTTCTCCTTTGAAACAATGATTCACGAAGTTCCTAGTGTTTCCATGGGTTCAAGTAGTGTGCAGTTCAAAAGCATATCAGCTGTACTCAGACCCGGCAAATAAGGTGGATATAGCGTGTAGCTATACCCATACGAAAACTCCAACTGGATAAAGTACCCACTCGGAGTTTGCGGTGAGAGAAATTTTCCATAAACGTCAGATTCCAGACATGAACGAAGTGCCTGGGTGTTGCGTTGACACAAAACGTATGCGATCAACAATGTTGCAAGATCGTCTCAACAGTATTATAATTTTACATGTTTATAGTGACAAGACCGACAAAATCGATTTGCAAAAATTGTTAAATAAGTTTATATAAAAAAATATAAAGCACGCTCTTTTTGTATTGCAAAAATTAAATGCTGAAGTTACATAAAATAATAAATGTGATAACAATTCAATGATAAACAAGGTAACTTGAAAAAATTATATTTTGTATCTTTCTCTTCATATACATTTTCTCTGGATGGGGAGGGGAGAGTCCATCCGGGTCAACTACCCAGTCTGCTTACACTAATCGTCGGCCCTGGCTAATACTTACCAGATAAGTAGTTTTTTTTCTCATTCAACTGTCATTCAACTGATTTTCCGTCTTACATGCACACGCGTGCTAAAGACATTGGACAAACTTTCTTACCCAGAGCAGGATTCGAATCCGCGACTGTTCGCATTCAGATGCTGAGCCAGTTCGCGCTTTATCTACCTCAACTCTTTGGATAGGTTAACGTTTGTAAATGTAACTTGGCGTGAATCAGGAAACACTAGTTCAATTCTCCATCAGGGTAAATGTTCGGAAATACTTAAAAAATAATTAATTAATTGGCACATTTAACTATAATTTAGAACGCGATGAACGGTGAAAGTGGGGAAATGAGTAAAATAAAGAGTATAGTTTCGAAGGAAAATGTGACACCTCCCAATTTTTAGTCAAGCAATTTCAACAAAGTTCTTCAATGACATTTAAGTTTCTTCAGATATTTTGATGAAGATGGGATACGACGTGAATGAGGGGAATAAAACATCAAGAAGTATTATTTTAAAACTGAGTAATATGGGCACAAACATTCGACAATTCCTTTTTGGTTCATGAATTATTATCTAAAATAATTTTTGCTGTCTTTAGCTCTCAGCCTACTCAGGGGAAATTTCGATTTCAGAAAATAAGAGTAATTAGGCATTTCTTGAGTTGTATGGATCGTCTGCCGATTGTTTCATATCCATTCATAATTACATGCACCAGACATCCAGTGTTGCCCCCTCTCTCCTGAATCTCAATGTGGGCTGTTGATAGTTGTTAAACCTCTACGCATGGTCAACAACACAATCCGTTCTAAGTTATCTGGAGACACGATGTCACTATCTGACTCTTATCACTTCCACGTACTTTTCATGTAAATAACAGTGAGTTATCGATGCTGACCGGCTGAGTAACCTACTCGGTTACTGTGCCAGGGACATTGAGATTAAACTGAGTTTCAATCCAAATAAGAATCAGAGCTAGGATTTGTATTAATTTTTTTCATTAATTAAAATCAATCTTTTATTTTATGTCTTATGTTTGGGAATTACACTTTTTGATATTATTTGAAACAACCGAGTTTACCATATTTGAAGGTGTTACACATATTTCCACATATTTAAGGAAAACTCGGTTTTCATTGCATACATCATTTTAATTACAATATACTCCACATTGGTTCAAAACTATTCGTGTAAGATATTTTTTTCGAGTACTACTTATGAAGTGTACTACTTATGAAGAGAAAGTATTGTAATACCGCAGAAAAAAAAGGAGAATGTTCGACCACAAAACTTGTTTTGTGGATCCTTGCTAAATAAAAGTGGATTCTTCTTCCTACACGTAGGAAATAACATCCTCTAATATGTTGGGTACCGAAATCCCTGTTTTGTGAGTCCTTGATAGCGAGAAATAATGGTTTCCAGTGAAACTTGTCTCTCCGGCCGGCCGGCCGACCATCTGTCTGAGTACAACGCTAGAGGCTAAACCATAGGGCAGATTTTCACCAAAATTGATATTCCCTCTCGACCTAGCAGATATCGCGGTCCCTTGATTTTGATGGGGATATTTTGATTATTGAGGAAACCTTACATGAAACCTTAATGTTTTCAAAAATGTCATAAAAATGGCTCCATTTTTGCTTTATTTTTTCTCACAACGAAACAGTGCGCTCATAAAAATAACCTAGATCCGGTTTTTGATAAACTGTCTAGATTTTTTAATGTTGCAAACGTTTAAATGTTTTTCAGCGTTTTCTTACAACTACAATATTTAAGATACATATATTTTTCGTAATTAAATATGTTCTTCAAAATTATATCCTTAAAAGGGGTCATGCACAATTATTTTAACAATTTTTGCAAAATTTTGCGAGAAATAAAATCAATAGAAATTGTTTCTCTCAAAAATGGATCGGAATTCTTTTTCTTCAATATAGCAGACCAATAGACCATTTAGAACAATAACTAGAGCAATATTTTTTGCAATATTCGAAAATTCTCAGTTTACCGAAAGTAAAACACTATTTTTATAAGATCACTTTGGTCTATTCTAGAAAAAATAGAGAAAACAATGGAGCTGTTTTCGAGAAAATAATTTATTTTTAAATTTTCTTATTTCAAGCAAGTGTTAAAATTGTTCTCTTATATTTGAAAAATTCTACATGACATTATTTCATGTTTATCTTTGAAGAGAAGATTTCAGTAAGGGAAAAATCCCAATCTTCAATATTATAGTTGTAGGAAGACGCCAAACAAATTTTGATATATTTCATCTTTCGAAAATTCGGAGAGATTTTTAATTCACAACCGTTTTGCCGTTATTGAGAAAATTTTGATTATGTTAAGGTTTCTT